TGACTAAGCTTATCGAGTCCAGGGTCCACCCATCTTGCCACACATGCCCCCCTATTCCCTCCCTTTACTATTGCGCGTTCACCCCTGGGTCATCCCCTCCTACTGCTTGTATTGCCTGTGCAACCCCTCCCTATGACGTAGGTTGTTGTCTGCTATCAGGGGCTTGCATGCCTCCCAGGATAGTGGTTGTCTGTTTCATTGTAGGAGACACCAGAGAGATCACACCCGCCCAAGGATGAATTGTACTGCCCCTCTCTGTGACGTGTGATTCTGTAATCATACCCCTAAAGTGATATTAATATGTGGTTAGCAATAAAGGGAGCGGCTCCCCGGTTCTCGGGTCCCTGGCTGCTCCTGCTCTGGTGGCTGGGTTCCCCCGATGAAGACCATCAAGCGGGGCTGAGGTGAGCAATGCTACCATGAATTGTGTCTGACTCCATTTATTCCAACCTCTCCTCTGACTCTCATGCTCTCGGTGACTTGCCTATAATCTCTACTTATTATCGCTGTACAATCGCGCCTATCGGGCCTGCGATGATTTGCGCGGTCCCCTCTCCCCCTTCACCCCACAGGCAGAGGCCACTGAAGTGGCATTTTCCAGTCCAACTTACCTTTTCCCCCCTGACCACCAGCAGTGCATGCTGGGATAAGGAATAGAAGGGGAAGATCCCGCCCAACAGACCGACCGTGGTTTTCTGCAGAGCAAACAGAAAGCAGGGCGGACAGTAAGCCAGCGCTGACCGCAGACAGAGGGGAAAGACAGACAGACGAGCAGCAATAACAAAGTCAGACGTAAGGAAACAAAAACAGCAAACAATGAAAACTCCCACGGCCGCCGAGCCGATGCCAACTGCCAGCGCCCCTCTGGGACCGGGTAGAACTGGCCCCCGTGGGTTTCCGAGGACGGTTGCTCTTTATGGGAGTCTAAGGCCTCATCTTGCTCCCAAGGAACGGCTGCTGGTTTCAAACCGCTGAGCGTGAGGTTAGCAGCCCCACTCTGAACCACGACCTGACCATTGCAGCAGAATGAAAGGAGGCCAGTTTCCAGTCCCATGTCCCCTCTAGGGAGCAGAACTTCAGAGGAGGGCAGCCTTCTCGTGGGGGACTGGGGGGAAGCGGTGTGACCTCCACGCCAAGCTGTCCACATGCTCGCCCTTAAGGACCCGAGGATCCTGTTCTGTCTGCCTCTCTTCAAATCCCAGCCCTGCCCAGCTGTGTGACCTTGGCAAAGACCCTGTACCTCGCTGAACTGTTATGGCAAACTATCACAAAAGTGGAGCTTCCGTGCTGGCAGCTGGCATGCAGACCCTTCCCTGTGGTCCCTGTGGAGTCACCACATGCCCCTCTTCCTTCTGTGTGTGTGTGTCCTCTCCTCCCCGTCGTAAGGACATGGGGTGGCGAGCCTGGGAGCCCCCTGCACCGGGTAGGGCCTCCTGCTAACTAAGTGGGTGTGCAAGGAAGGGCCTTCATGTCTAATGAGGTCGCCTTCTGAGGTTCCGGACAGACAGGCAGTTCAGGGGGCAGGGGGGCGGGGGGG